ATTCATATACGACACGGGGGAAGGGGGGGGGGGGGTATTTAGAAGGAATGGAATTTTCTATGGAATTTTCTTTTCAAGAAGAAAGTCAGTAGAATTTGTTTCTTCAATCAGTAGGAACTACCTAAGGTGGGTAAGAAGTAACATTTAGAATAGAATTCTGAGCATTGTTAGGAGGTATACGCTGGACTCTTAAGTACATATGATTTTTTTTACAAGTGTTTTACGGCGCTCGCAACTGCATACGGTCTTATGAGCGCGTAAATACATATGAAAAACCAATTTTAATTTAAGAAATTGAATACTGTTAAAAGAAACAGATTACATCATAGTGCTCAGAAAAATGTAGCTTAATCTTTCGTCTTACATACTACAGGGAGTTAGTAGAAAGAAGTAACTGATGGTTAGACCTAGACATTAAATACAAAATGAATGTACACTGTACTATCTGAAGCGGTGCTTGTCAACCTGGTCGACGTTGTTCATTTGTGATTGATTGATTGATTCATTCATTCATTGGTTAATTGACTGACTGATTGAATGATCGATTCATCGATCGATCGATTGATTGATTAATAGATTGATCTAGTAGGTGATTTACTTAACTATCCACTCAGTTTAGCAGTTTTGGTCATTTGTTCATTAGTAGGATGTTTGGTACTTTTTTGGTGACCGGGTAGTAAGGTATTGTTTCTTGCCCCGCATGGAAAAAGACATACAGGCTGGTGGTACCAACATTGTGTTGACTGGCTCATTGATGTTTTAGTACATTGTACCTAGGTGTTTCGCCGGTGACCTATTGACAGTTTTGGTCACCTGAGCGCAAAAAGTGAAAATTTTAGCATTTTAAAAGTGGCCAAAAAAAAAATGGGTGCTGGCTATAAAAAGGAAGCTTGTTTGTTTGAGTAGGTGTTTTGCGGCACTATCAGATCATTTTGGTCAATAAAAAGGTTGACAAGCACCAGTGGAAAGGAGTAAAGGAACACAATTTGAAAAGTCCAGTAGGTATTAGCAATTTGGGGGGGGGTATAGTAATATGAAAGCAGTCCACAGACT